TTTCAGCATATTAAAAATGTTGTTGGCGACGAGGGTATCTGCTGCAACCAGAATGATACTGACTCATTCTATACAGGAAAATGTTAGTAGCTCAGGTAGCGTTGATGAGCATTGAGCTGGATCGAGTTTACGCACCACTACGTGCAAAGGACCAACATCTCGACCGGAATACTCAAGGAGAAGCGAATATCGTATTCACAAACTAGGATCGCTTTGGAGTCAGAGCAATAAAGGTCACAAGCAGGAACTCGGAAGGGTCAAGAATAGAGGTTACTCCAGCATCGATCAGAGTACGAGGGCCGGGAATGACAAGCTCAGAGGTCACGTGGGTATCGACGAACCAGGACATGGGATAAGAGAGCAATCAGTGGACTGAACTGAACCGACCGAACAACCAACCGTGATCGAAGCTCAGCCCTGGCTAGCAGTACGTATATTAACACACACGCAACACTACTCCACGCAAAATGACCATCCCATCGCTACGCACTACTACGCTCCCTAACAACACACTGATGATGTCACCTCGGTCGGTGATGAAACGTTTGCAACCGAATTCCCCAGTTCATCGAACAAACCAAAGACCACACTGACTCATTTTATTGCGGCCACAAATGGATCTTGGTGAAGCCAACTAAAATTAGTCATTATAAGGAAGCGATCATTTTAGCGCGGTGCGGTGACGAGGTTGATACGGTAATCCTCCCTCTAGCGCAGTCCCTTATTGGGCAACGAAATCGGTTTGGAGGAGCAATACCTAACTCCACTCGATTTTCAACAATCCACGAAATCACCGTCATGGGCGGAGTGAACGCTCTAGGGACAGCAGTTTGGTAGACTGGTGCATAAAATTAAGAATCATTGTAGGGAGTGGCTGTTTATTTCAGTGGTAGACCAACTTCGATCGACGTTTTGTTCTGACAGTCGGCCAGCTTCAGGCAGTCTCAAAGCTACATCCGGACGTTCTGGCACTATTGCGTAGGGACCAAGATCTCAGGACTGTTAGTAATCGCATTGGCCTTACAAGATTTCACTTTACACATCAGTCATATATCGAAATGCTAGATGCGACAAAGGGAAAGCAAACTATTCAACTGGCCAGATTGTGGAGTGTCTGTGGTCATTGTAGGGAAGGTATGCGTTCGAAAATGTGATAAACTGGTCTGTGCGAGGGGTTGGTCGTTCTACTTTCCGAGTTTTGCAACTAGTATCCTGATCTGGCAAGTGCTGAAGAAGTGGTCACTATCAAAAGGACACGCTCGGGGTAGTCACTTCGAGAAAAGTTGCGTAAAACAGGGTGCTTAGATTCCACCAGGGTTGTACTCTGGATTCAAACTCTGTCGTTCCGAAAGTCCAGTCAGCTGAGCGTGTCTGGATGGGAGGCAGACGAAAACATAGTGCACTCGAATTCATCAACACAGCAAGTAAAGACAGGTAGTTCCATCACGCAGTACATAAAACTGTGAATTGGCACGCAGACATCATCGAGGTGATGACAACCTGTCGGTTCATGTGTCTCACCGGATACGGCTGAGAAACAGCAACACAATGAAAGTGTTGAAGCGATGGTGGCAGTGACGAGCGTTTTCACGATATGTCTATATTGGTCACACGCACACCAGCACATCAACCTTGGAATACATTGTCGTTCATCAATGTCCATCTAAAAAACGTCACACCCGTCGTTTCAGTATCCGCCATTTCGTCTATCTCCTCGGCTATTGACGACCCGCCCCTCCGACTCATTTGCACGTTTATGGTCGCTTTGGTAGCACGTTGTGACCTGCAACCGGGATCGACAGGTCGAGAAGATCGTGTTTTCCGGATGCAGCCATGGCAATGCATCTCAACCGGTCCCATCACGCTTTTTGTTATCTTGACAGGCGAAGTGACGGACTGTCCCACGCTGCGGGTGAACACTGCTACTTTTCGATTTTTGGTTAAAAAAAAACGTTATTTTTTGTATTCCTCTGGCAGATCGCTCACCACGACCAAGCTGATTTCGTAATTTGCAAACTCACTGACTTCATATGCAGGCCGCTTGGATGAATTCAAGGGCCAAATCCTCGACGAACTGGGTCCGGAAGGACGGCGGTCTGAGAGCAGCAACAAGCTCACCAACTACCGTGCCGTACAAATTCATGTTTCAGTTGCTAAATTAGACCATTGCTCTAACGAATTACCAACTGCCTCTAAAGTTGTGAAGAAATCTGTTTTTTCTCTACACTCAACACAGGATGACGAATTGCACTCGATTGAGTGCAATTTACAACTGACTCGCGCTACTTAGAGGGAACTTTTTGATATTGATCCAGGCTGACTGATCGGTGTCCAGTGAACACCAATCAAGATCGACCGTGCTTCTATGAGATGGCTGAGCACTTCTCATATTCGGTCGCGCTTTTGTGGCGTGTCTGAACACTCATCGGCTAAAGTGATCCAGTGATTGAGTGGCCTGCATGCTTGCCGGCTTCCCAGTTGAGATTTTGGTAGGGTTTTTGGGTCACAGCAGGTTCCGGGCATTCTCGGGTTATTTTCAGGAATCTGACCTTTCTGACATCGACAATGCGTCCTGACGCCCCTAGATCGCTACATGTGTACCTGAATAAACCTAGTCTGGGGAGCCAATGTGTAAAAAAATTACCTTAAATTTTGCAGTATACAAAAGACCACTAAAAGCCTGTCTTTTAGATTATCTTAACCGTCTTCAAAAGAAATGACCCTCGGGGGATACTACTGACGGAGCATACGAGTATTATGTGGCTTTCTCGTAACTCTGCCTCGCGTCTAATAGAATGTGGGATTTATTACGGAACCTGAGCAATTCGACGAGGATTTGTAAATATGTTCGGTTCATTACTGTGCTAAGTTTGTCGCATTAGACAGCTTGCACTTTGAGATTATAGGGCTTGAATCACAGTAACTTATGTTTAGCGTACATTGTGATCGACCTGGGTTATTGTACGATTTCGAATCGTGCTGCTCGGTTAACCTTCCCCATTTGAAGTCATTTCTTAGCGAAGCAGCTTACTTGGCATTTATGGCGCTGTCGGGGCTTGAACTAATATCTAATGACCAGCAGTACTGGTTGTGGTGGGACAACTTGGCTAGCGCCGTTGAAGTCCACAGAGCGTGTTTAACCCAGGTAGGCCCCTGTTTAATACCTCACGAAGAACTTCAGTCTCCTTGTTGTCATACTCTATATGAAGCCATCAACTCTGTGACAGGCATACAGTTGATTGACTAAGTATTCATCCGCTTATTGCAGTAGCATTTGGAACGGCTGCACACACACACACACGGTTGGGTAATACGACTTTCACCAGTGATTATGCACCTGGTTGAACTTAACATTTGCGTCATCGGTTTGGTACCTAGGCAAGACGATAAAGCGTACAGTCATAAGAGCAGCACTTTCGTTTGTGTTCTGTGAACGACCTCATCTCTTTAGACCATGTGGTCGTTATCTTTTTTCTTCATAAAGGAAACTACTCACAAGGTTGCTGAAAATGCTTCGACAGCCCACGATCGGTTTCGCCCCTCATGGGGCTCATCAGGTAGGTGCAGTCCCCGAGTTTCCCTAGTCGTTAGTTCGTTTGCCGTGATTGACGCAATCGCCGCGATCCAACAGTTCACGCCACGTGCATTTTCGGGGGCCACCGTGGAGATCAAATTGGCACAGGACTGGGGTTGCATCCAACACAAGCACCTGTGGTTCAGTTACTTCATATCACGACTCATTAACATGCCATAGCATCAAGCGATCAAACTATTGATAACATTTTCAGCAGAATTCTCAAACTAATGATTAGGTTGCATCAAAAAGATGAAAGCTCTTATCCTGGCAGATGAAAGGCAGCGAGCGCAGTTACATCCTGTGTGTAGACTTTACGGCTTCCGTTAAACAATAAATTCAACTGACAGAAAGATGACACTTTCCGTTGCTAGCTGATAGATTTATGAGCATGCTCGAAGGCTATCAGCTTAACTTTCACCTAGGTGCCGTGTCGATGACACAGTCACCGTGGCCTCAAATGTACTCAGCACTATTGAGATTCTGACGGAATTCGGTCAGGTCCGCTCAAACATCACACTCACCCTAGAGCTGATATCTCCCAGATATTTCCCATCATCTGGTCTGCCAAGATGAAGCTTCTGTGACGATACGGTGTATCGATCAAACTGCGGCACTGATCATCTCCGAGCCATTGTGCTCAAAAAACCAGATCAAAGTCTGTGAATCTGAAAACCCAGTGAAATAAAAAAAGGTCGCTCTGCAAAAATGTCTATTGTTACTCTCATTCGGCCAGACCACTACTGACGAGTATTGAAGACATTCCAGAGTTTAGAACGTAGGTTGTCCGACATGACAAGGTCAGTGGGATAGCTTTACAGATAACTCTGTTCCAATCTTCGTAGGGGTGTATAGTTCGCACTCAGATGCGTTTCAAAGGCCGGGTGTACTTTTTTTGGCAACTATTGTAGCTGGTAGAAAAGGCTGGAAGGACCTCTCCAACGAGTTTTCCTGAGATTAATCTGGTAGTTCAAAGCTACTGTGGTAGGTCATTACTTGAGTGTTGAGGCCGATTAAACTGTTCACAGCTAAGCAACCGGGGCTGTCCATCACTTATCACACCTTGGCTGCACTTGGTTGATGATTTACCATTTAACACAGTATGGATGTGAAACTGAAATGTACGTCTTTTCTCGGACGATCCATAGATGTATACATTTGGCGTACGCTGTTTATATGAGCTTACTTGGAGGTTGTCAATAACCTGTTTTTTTGAAGGCGAGAAACATAAATTTGAAACGGCACCGCTCTCCGGACATAACACGATCTCTGGCTACCAATAGGAACTGTAAAGTGTCCCAACAAATTCGAATGGCAGTTCCTTCGTATGAGGTTAATATCTTCCAAGTGACGTGAGACCAGGATCACCTCACCTCTGGTTTTACGAGAACATACCTTGGATTTGCTGTCGTCCAGTTTGGAAACTTCATCGAAATATCATGTGGAGACTAAGCGTTTCCTTACAATCATCATCATCATCATCAACGTCATCTTCATCTTCATCGTCATCATCATCATCATCATCATCATCATCATCATCGTCATCTTCATCATCATCATCATCTTCATCATCATCGTCATCTTCATCATCATCATCATCATCATCATCATCATTATCATCGTCATCTTCATTGATAGCAGTTCCATCAGTAACGCGTACTGGTGCTTAACTGCCATACAGCAATGAGAGGGGAAAGCCTTAGTAAAGAGTATATTGAAAAGGGAAGGTTAGAGACTTTGTGTGACGAAGCCCTACGCTAATAAGGAAAACGAACATAAATAAAATGCCCACATATCTGGATAGCAGTGAAGTGAACACATCCGAATATACTGTCAAGGAAAGGCACCAACAGTGGGGTCGAACCAGCGCCCCTTGCAAACCGCAGCGATTTCTACCCCCATCTGTGCACTTTAAGTGAAAACAAAGTTTACCCACTCATTTGTGTTGACGACAGGACGGATTAATTGATTTCTCTCATTCTACCGCAGATGTTCCAGGTATTCCTCCGGATTCCGAAAATATTTGGAGCCATCAGTCATCAGAAAAAGCATCACCTTCCTAGAAAACGCATGACTTTCTCTCGACCTTGTCTGGAAGCATCTTTTCGTGTCACAGCAGATCAGCATACGGAACCGACCATACTGCAGTCCCATCGAACGTAAAAACCGATCATCAGTTTACAGGACCTCAAAAACAGTGTACTGCACTAGCGGTTTACAAGCCAACCAACCAATACGGGACAGACTGACAACAACACCGCACTCTGCTCACTGCATTGGGCTGAAACACTCTGAATAAAGTATTCGAAAGTGTTTTCCCGGGATCCGGTTCCCAAAGTTGGTCAGTCACGGACGTCGAGCTGACGAACAAACGTTCTCGGTACTTCTTCCCCCGGGTCAATACAATTTGGAGACCATTGTAAAATGAATAGTTGAAATGGCTGTGAATGGGGTTTCTGCTCTGAAATGTATCTTATAAGATCAGAAACTCACTTACTATGATAGAGGGGATCTCTAACGGACAAAAAAAACCTAGCTATGGAAATCGGGTCCACCAAAGCAGTTTTAGTCGAACTTTCGTGAATCAGATAATTTTTACATCCATATTCAGTGTTATATCTGCTGATTCGCCAATCTGCTGTATCTGACTGCTGACCCACTCCAGTGCCTAGTGCTGGAGAAGAAGACTCACAGAAGGGAATTCAACAGCTTTGTTCCGAATAGGCGAGTGCGGGAGCGAAAATGCAGCGGTCACAAGCTATTTATTGGTCTCAGGTTGACGCACGCTGTCTGACAATTAGGTTTATTCCATCTTCCATTAAGCTGCATTCAGCTAGAAGGGGTCAGGTCACGTGGTGCTGTAATTAAGGATACCGATCTAGATAAAGGATGATATATACATGTATAACCCAGACTTTACACTCAAATAATAGACAAACTGACTGAATGATCGTCTAATCAGCTGTCAGTCAGTCGGACTGCTAAAGTCAACTGGTGAAGGCAAACACTTTTATTGGCTTCGAATGGCCTACAAAATGCCCATACCGTGTTTAGTGAGGCATACTACCTAGCTGACATCACTAGGAGGGTAGGCAGCTCTGCACACAGATGCACACCTGCTTACCTACACTTAAACTATCCGTACAGGTAAGTAACCTGAAGATTCATACCAGTCACTGCAATCGATCGATACGAAGTCCAGTTTGACTAAGGAACATCTAACACAGCGGGATGCCTTCCAGGCTCTCAGCAGCTTACGTAGTGTTTGAACCAGTTCGATGAGACAGAGAACCTATGTGTGTGTGTGTACGTTTAGATGTGAGAAAGGACACAGGACCGATGCGGATCTGTTTGTATGTAGTGCACATGTCCAAATATGCTGACAGAATGATCATAGGTGGTGCTTGTGGGGTCACTACTTCTCGGTGCGTGTGGTAGACCAGTGTGAACTGGATGTGGCTCTTGAGTAAGGATAGTTTCATCGACTAAAATTGGTGACACGGTTTGTTATTTTGATTTTTAACTACAGAGCGAATCTTCCCTCAGAAGATCTGGTCACATGAAGATGTAAGTTCGGAATTACTTTCAGTAACTTTCAGTAACACAATCAAGCGCAAAAATGTCATCAGTTACGAGTGTAATTAGAGTCAGAAAATATGAAGGTTACTAGATTATAACCTTTCTTTCAGTCAGTTAGTCAGAGTGAAAGCGTCGCGCACAGGTGATCGGGTTCCGGGTGGATTCCGTCGACTTGTTGAGAAACCAGAATCTCTCATTCCTTTGTGTCCTTTGAGTCCGTGCTGGTATGAGCGAATTCTCCTGGCAAGTTGTTCGATTTATCGATTGCTTTCACTGAAACGGAACCAGACGCAATTTCCTGAGGCCAGGTCCACGTATGAACCATCCATCTTTCATCTACTTGCCAGGGTCTCGGTAAAGCATCCTCCGCGTGTATAAAAAGTCAACTTTACGTCTCCTGTAGATTTGAGAGGACAGCCTAAAGGTGTGTAGCCTCCCACGGTGAGCCCACTTCGTTCCACAACGGTAGACTTGTTCCAACAGGAATATTTCACCTTTCGTGGAGGAGATGCTATCTGTATTCCAGACGTGGACTAACGTGCGCCCCAAACGGGCGGGAAAATTTCGGTCGAAGCTAGGCTGGATGGCACACATCATCCTGGTGTAACGGTGTTACTACTAATGGGGAGGTACGCGATTAGTATGTGTTGTTCGTAGAATTTCGCTTTGCGTCTATTGAAAAAGGGAGATCTGTTGCGGAATTAGTGGAGCCACTTTGCAACATTTGCTTGGATTTGACCGACGAATGAGTGGAGTCACTGAATCTCCAGGAAAGTTCAAGAAGACTTGTTCGAAAGAAGATCGGTGTCCAGTTTTTGTAACTAAGATGCAGATTAGAGTTTTACTTCCCTGTTCAACGGTCTGTAACCGGTCAGTTGGCATTTTTCGTTCTTAAGTCTGTGTGGCCAATAACACGGACATTACTGCGATGATACGGTTGATGGCACGGTGACGCATACTGACCGATGAGGTGTATGTGTGGGAATAACTCCAGCTCGGGTATGAGTGGCACACATCTAGGAGGCGATGGCATAACTTGGGAGTCGGCAAGAGTCATCAATTAGATAATCGATTTCATTGGCTTCAGGCTGTGTCCCTCCGAAGAAAATAAGTGGAACTACACCTGGTAAACTGCAAATTAGTCTAAAAAACAAATGGAGACTACTGGACGTGAGTGGCGTCAGGATCATTTCGCTCAAATTCCTTTTGCGTAAGTTGTGTTGGTTCTTTCCCCGTTTAGGTGTTCCACTTCGTCTACATGCTTCAAAAAAATATTTATTCCAATCTACTTCACTGCAGATGAACTACCAGAACGCTTGCACCAGAACTGAAGAGCTTGATTTACTGTGTATTCACTTTGGGACGAAAGAACTAGTCTTGGAAAGGTAGAATTTGTGAAATGAATGACTTTCAAGTTTGAAAGGGTGAATTTCCCGGTGGATAACGGATTCCTTCGAACGAAGCTCAGTGCCGCTAACCTTCAAATAGTAATCTGTCTTGGGGGCACAAGGTCTAGTCTGTCTAATTAATAATACTAGTGGAAAGGAGAGGACCTTCGCTGCGAAGTTATTTATTAGAAAATGCCAACTGAACAGTTACAGACTATTGGACAGAGAAGCAAAACTCTCATATGCATCTTGTTAACAAAAACTGAAGATCCATCTCTTTCTTGAACGCGTCTTCTTGAACTTTCCTGGATATTCATTGGCTCTTGCTCAAATCCAAGCAAATGCTACAAAGTTACTCCACAAATGCCGTAATAGATCTCACTTTACAAGAGACACAAAATGAATTTACGGGGAAACCTACTACTCGCATGCCCCTCCCATCAGTAGTATCACCGTTACACTAGTAACGGTAGTAATAATCGTTCAACCAAAACACTTTTTTGGTGCTTAGCTGCCACGCTTTAGGAAGGAACCACGAGGGCGAGGAGGCTGCCAAGCTTCCCGAGCCTAGACAAGAGCAGAAGTTTGGTTCGAACCATGGA